GTGGTTGGTCAGTGAAAGTGAACCCCCATCGTGTCCTTGTCATTGTGGCAGGCGGTGGAGATAAAGATAAATAAGACCTAGCCTCAGGACTAGTGACTCCAGCAGGAATGTGGCCAACAGCAACCGTAAGAAAAGAGGGTCATAGGGTGACAGCTGCATGGGGTCCAATGGGAAGTCAAGAAAGGACATGTTTTCTGTAGCCAGCTGTGTTGGAGTTTGGATCAGGCTGTGTTGCTGAGAAGAACCTCAGTCATAGGTAGGTGTGCATTTCGGGTCTTAGACTTAGGCAGGCAGCATGAGCCGAGGAAACAATACAGACCAAGGCTGGGCAGGCCTGGAGAGAAACTGCAGGGACAGGGACAGGACTGGTCCACCCAGGGCTTAGGGGACAGAAGATACAGTAATCCACACTGGCTAAGCCGAGATGTGGGCTTCCTGCTGCGAAGTGGGTAAAGTGTGAGAGCCAGTCTACATCTGGGATGGAGTGCTGTAGACCGGCTAGCACACTACGTGTGTTCCCTAGACAAAGAGCAGAAACACCTCCCATGGCTTCTTGGAAACACAGAGTCTCAGGCCCAGGTCCAACTTGGCAGCTAGAGCTTCACAGTCTGACGTAGCAGGTGTCCTAGGTGTTCTGAAGAGCTAGTCTATGATGCGGAGCCCAGACTGGGGTGGGCTGCTCCAGATGTGTGTGGCAGTGCTTGGGAGCTACCATTGAAGTGAAGCCCTCAGCTGCTGCATGGCTGACACCAAGGGGCTTGTAACAAATGCAGACTCATCCCCCGGACAAATCACAAGCTTATTGTGACCCTAGGAGATTTACTTGCTCCCCACAGGCTGGTTTAGAGTCAGGCATTGGGGTTGATGATCAGGACTGTGGTATAGTCAGGATGCTCAAACTGTGATGCCATCTTTATAAGTGAGTATGGGTTTAGCACGGGGGGTGGAGTGAGGCAGAGATTAACAGCATGGAACATAAAAAAAAACATTATTATTAATGGCTCTAGCTCTCACTTGCCTGTCTGGAGAGTATCACCTGAAATGTCACATCCTAGTACTTCACTGGGCAGTGACCTGGTTCTATCCCCATTAGGAGTAAATGGGGCACCAGGATCGAGTAGCTTATTCAGTGCCCCTCTTTTTCACCAGTGGCAGAGCTGAGGTTCTCACTCATGATTCTTGGCGTCAGGGTGTCTATCTTAGACGACTGCAGTATTGTAGCTTTCATGTCTCTGATCTCTGAACTGTAACTTATTGCTGGTTCTGGTTTCATGTCTGTGATAAATACCCTGGCCAAAAGCCGCACGGGAGGAAAGGGTTTATTTGGCTTACAGGTCCAGGTGATGGTCCATTATTGTGGGGAAGTCAAGGTAGGAAGAAATTCTTGGAGGAGCAAATAGAGATGAGTCTATCCAAGCTGCCTGCTGGCTTGCTCTTAGCCAGCCTTCTCCACTCCTGCATCGGTCAGGGCCCAGCTTAGGGAATGGTGCCACCCACCATGGGCTAGGTCTTCCTGTACCAACTAACAAGACAATCCCCAAAGACATGCCTACAGGCCAGTCTAACCTACTTAATTCTGCTCTTCCCTGGCGACTCCAGGTGACTCCAGATGCTGCAGAGTTGACGGTTAGAACTAACCGTCACATTGCTTAACTTTTAACAATTAGCCAAAATTTTGTCAAGTGAAATTCCTAAAGGAAAATTCCACAGCTTGGTTCTGACAAGGCTTAAGAGAAAGCCAACTTATCATCCCCCTCGGCAGCTGCTGCGTGCTCTCCTAGAAAGGTTAAACAGCCACGTGGGGCCCCATGGCCGCATCTGTGCTTATTGTCACAACGCTGTGTAAATTTTACCCCGTTCTGCCGAGGCCCCCCGCAAGTGGCCAGATGGTCCCTGTCTTAGTGAGGAAGAGGCCACCCTGAACCACCAAGATTGTTTGCTCTGATGGGTCACAAGGCAATAAATGCTGTCCCAGCCAAGTGGGGGTGACTCTGTTGCTGTTACCTCCACATTAGGAGTTAAGGCCTCAGAAATCAAATTGCTCACAATCATGTCTGACTTGCTTGCTCGTTGTAATCTGTTTCTCAAAATAAAACTAGCATCTAATGATTTTACATCATTGTCTTTCCAAAGGTGGGGTGGTTTCAGGATATTTGAATGGTTTTAGAGCATTGTGAAGAGCCCCCTTCACTCTCCTCTCACTCCACCACTGAAGACAATGCGATTCCAAAACTAGACATTTATATGTGTCTCACCCTCGGGGTGAGGGTCTGCTTTGGGGAAGACGCTTCCATCGTCATCCATCCCAGCAGCTGCTCTCTGCGGCCCACGAGCATCATCAAGCAGGCATGGTTTCATTAGTGTGTGCTGATTTTGACAGACAACAGGCAGCCTGTGCACAGGCAAGCAGACCTTTACCGTGGGCCCCAGACGCAGAGGGCTGTTTTTGTTTCACCACCATCGCTCTCTCGTTCTTCACTAACACCAATCATTTCTGATCTTAATTTTTGACCCCTTTGGAGGTTCAGTTTAGTTCAGTTCTGTGACTTTGTTCCTCAAAGCTGTGGATCTATGGACCAGTGGCACGGACCCTCCTGGGGGATTGTTGGAAATGCAGGGTCTCAGGCTCCATCCCAGATCTCACAAACTTAAGTGCACCCCTTCGTCTGTGTGTGTGTGTGTATGTGTGTGTGTGTGTGTGTGTGCATGTACACTCACATGAAGAGGCCAGAGGTCAAAGTTAGCTGTCTTACTTAATCACATACCCCCTTACTTTTTTAGATAAAGTCTCTGCATGAACCTGGAGCTCACTGGGCCAGCTAGACTGACTGGCCAGCAGGCCAGCTTTTTTTGTTGGTACCTTGGGGGGACCAACTGAGCTTCTCATGCTTATACATCAAGTACTTTACCAAGTGAGCCCCCTCTGCCCCCCCAGAACCTGCATCTCAACAAGGTCCTAGGCACCAGCAATTGAGAGGTGTTCTACCCCAGTTATCTGGGTTTCTCCGTTACCTTCAGCTACAGTCTACACTGAGCACTTACTTTGGGGCTAGATTTTCATTTTGCTAGGCTTTAAGAACTTAAAAAACATACACACTCCAAAATTCCTTCCTTTGCCTTCCTATGATGTCATTCATTTTACCTGGCCTGCCACAAGAAAGAGGCAAATTGGGTCCAAGTCCTATATGTATTCTAAGACTTACTTCTTAGTGGCGTCTGTTAAAGCCTCCACCATTAACTGAGTCCCAAGTGTTGCCAAGATTAATTGAGAAATGCCTGAAGGTAAAATAAATACTGCTGCTTGGTTTAATTCAAAACCATATCAGCCAAGAATGGAGGTGCAATTAGTGATAAAGATGTTAATAATTAGTTGTGCTCTGTTAAGTTTTATATTCATGGTTATATAGAGTGGAGAAAGAATTTCCCCAGGAGGGCAAAAATCAATGTTTCACCTTGATTGCTATTTTAATGTGCTTATTTTAATGGGGCCATCCTGCAGAAACCCTTGGGCACATTTCCAGTTTTACATAAATGTAGAATTAATTATTATGGAAGCATATAATTTTAGAGTTGGAGCAACCTTGGCGGTCATTTAATCCAGTTTAGTCATTCCTCAAATAAGAATTGAATTACTTAAGTCTTTCTGCAGAGTAGTGAATGCTGGGAGTCCCTCCTCCCAATGGCCAGGACACCTTCTCAGATCCCTCAGATATGTGTGTTTCCTGTTGCCTCCGAATTTCCTCCAGACACAATGAAGTAGATTATTTCTCAGCTTCTCACCCTGGCCTGCGTTCTGCTCTTGTTGCTTTTGGTTGTGAGGTTGGAGTCCTGGAACACGTGCCTGGTTCCCTTCTGGTCTGCACCATTCCTAGCTCTGGGTTGTGTCCACAGTATTTGCATAACAAATTGCCATGTTCAGGGCTGGAGAGCCTCTCCTCTTCTTGCAGAGGACCTGAGTTTAGTTCCCAGTGACCCCATCTGGCAGTTTACAACCCCTGTAACTGCAGCTCCAGAGGATCTGATGCCCTCTTTTGCCCTCCCCCGCCCCCAAGAAAAATTAAAAGCTAAGTAAGTAATTTGACAGGCAGTTCTGGGCCTGGCTCTGGTTTCCCTTTGCAGCGCTGGTACTGAGAATGGAGACCAAGCCTCGTGCACGTGAAGGGTGTTCTCTACCAGTGAGAAGGTTGGGGACTTGTAAGGACTGACTGACTGTCTTCCTACTGGTGGCATGAAATTGGACACGATGGGCATATTTATACCAGAGAAGTCGGCAAATCTTCAAATCAGTGCCTTTTGATTTCAAGAAATGCAGTTTAAACATTTATGGGCATAACCACTGCATATGTATTTCCACAAGGTCTCAGAAGGCAGCGCATCTTTACAAAGTCTAAAGACTCATGCCAGCATGAGGACACCTCGTTGCGTAGCATAGGTCTCCTCAGGAATTGTGGGATGGTAGGCAGTCGCTTAATCCCTGCTTATCTTTTAAGGTCAAGGCAAGTTAGGTCTCAAGACTTTAGTAGAATGTCATGGTTTAGGCAAAGCTCCACCTACCTACCCAAAAATGCTCTTAGGATTCACACAGTCATAGAGATTATGAGAAATTCACAGTTGAGTGAGAAAAAAAAATTCATTGTAAGGAAAAAAATGTGAATGGGAAAGTAACTGTTGCTGAAGCTGCAGCTGTATCTTTACAGGTCTCAGGAATCCCTTAGCTTCCTAAGACCTGCAGAAATGCCCAGCGTGCAGTGAGCTTACACTGACCACAGCCCAAGCGTCGTGGTGCAGTGAGCTTACACTGACCACCTCTTGTGATTTTAACTTGGTTTCTAATCTCTCACATTACCTGCAGGTCATCCAACCACTGATTCCTACCTCCGTTTTACGTCAGTCTCTAGGGAGCTTCTGTTCTGGCTTCCATGATGTCTATTCTGGGCTCTTGAGAGTCGCTATAGAAATTCACATGACTCTGCTGGTCTTTGTTGTGTGCCTGTCTTTAGGAGCAGGACCCGAGGTCCCATCGGCCCTGGCAAGTACGGTTATGGGAAGGCTCCCTACATCTTACCACTGCAGACAGATACCACGCATACTCCGCAAAGGCTTCGGAGACAAAGACCTTCATCCCGACCTTCCAGATCCCAGGAGGCTTCTGCTTCTAGGCAGGGCTACAGGCCACCATCCCACCAGTTCTCCCACAGTGGACCTCTCTACCAAAGTGACAGCGGCTCTCGTTCTGGACTGCCGGCTTCTGAGGCCTCTATCTATCAGCTGCCCTTGACTCATGAGCAAAGCTATCCTGCAGCTCCAGGTCTCTACCACAGTCCGGAACTGAGCAGCAACGGCGGTGCCAGGCCCCAGGGCTCAGCTCAGGCCTTTCCCCAGCATCTGCGGTCTACAGCCATCTCGTGCATTGGGGCCTATCGGCAGTACAAACTGTGCAACACCGACGTGAGTACACAAACCTCAGTCTGGGCTTGCAGGCAGCTGTTTTTCTTAATTTCTGGTCAGTTGACACCCAGTACATGGAAGATTGAGGGGGCCCAATCTCCTCTTTCTTTTCTTTCCATGTATTCACCCATATGTGCTGCTTGTATATATGTGTGTGTGTGTGTGTATAAAGCTAATGCTTTAAAAATTGTACATAACTGATGGAATCACATCAATAATCTTGTAATAGCAATATTATTAATTGCCTATTTCAGGATAACAACTTTGAAAGTATCAGTAGTATATGCCAAAGTGATTATATTTTGCACCTTCTTATGTGGTTGCACAGGTATGTTTAGGACAGATGCCTGTGTCACATGCCTTGCTCATCCATTTTCCACCTTAATATTTATTTATTCTTTTCTTGTTAAAGATTTATTTATTTTTGTTTCTGTGTACGTGTGTGGGCCTCTGTGAGTTTATATACATCATGTAGGTGCCAGAGCATATGGAGGCCAGAAAAGGACATCGGGTCCCTTGAAACCGGACAGCTGTGTGCTGTCTCATGTGGGTGCTGAGAACTGAACCTGAATCTTCTGGAGGACCAGTATATACTCTTAGCTGCCGATTTGTCTCGCCAGCTCCTCGTTTTTTGAGGCAAGAGCTTGTTGAATGTGGAGCTCACTGATTCGGCTATTCTAGCTGGCTAGCAAGCCCCAAGGATCCTTCTGTTTCTGGCTCCCCAGAACTGGGATTACAAGCACACGTTACACACCCTTTTGTGGCCGGTGCTTTACCTATGAGCCATATGCTTAGCCTCAACAAATCTCTTCTTTTCTCATGAGTCTATGGCTGCCAAGGAAGTAGGTGTTTGGGGAGGCTCCTTGCTACTCCATAGAGTAAACACTTCAGGTGATGTACCACAAGGGAGAGAGTTGTGAGGTCATAAGAGTTTCATCTTAGGAGAGAAGCCGGGACAGCCGGGACAGTAGCCGCCTGCAGAGCGCCCTGGCCAGCGATTCCATTCTCACTTAGCAGAGGATTTTCAAGGATCTTAAGAATTTGAATAGGGCTGGAGAGATGGCTCAGTGGTTAAGAGCATTGCCTGCTCTTCCAAAGGTCCTGAGTTCAATTCCCAGCAACCACATGGTGGCTCACAACCACCTGTAAAGAGGTCTGGCGCCCTCTTCTGGCCTTCAGGCATACAGACAGAATATTGTATAAATAATAAATAAATATTAAAAAAAAAAGAATTTGAATAGCTGTCATGGTGTGGACAGTGTGGATATTCACTTTTGATATTAGCTCAATAAGTAGTTCCCGATCCTGCTTTCTTCCCATATTGCAAGAGCCTCTGCTCCTGTTAATAGCTCGCCTCAAGCCGGTCATTGCATGTGCTACTTCCCCGGCCTCCTTTAATCCTCTGCTTAGCTTGACGCATTCTCTGTCCTCCCCGTTCCACAGCTGCAAAGCAAGGGTCAGCAACTTGAGCAGACACCACAGCTACTGGGTAGGAAGGCAGGTGATTGTTACAAACCGTGTCTGGCTGGCTGCGCAGCTCCTAACGGCAGTGTCGAACCAGGAGAGAAGAGAGAGGAAGGAGGGGATGCGGGGAGGTTGAGCTTCTAAGCTGCTACAGTTTCCATTAATAATTTAATCTGCCTTAATACTCGTCGGTGGGTAACGGGACAGCTGGTATGTATTAGCTCCAATTTCCTCATTAAAAATCTATTTCCTGCTATGGAGTCCATAGAAGTGACTTAATTTGTGATCTTAATAATTCCTCCAAACGCCTGCCTTGCCTTTTAACCTGTTCCTCCATGGCAAGATTTCAGGGATTATTCGTTTCTATAAAGCTCTCATTTTTCTAAAGCCGTAGCCAGCCAGCCAGCCAAGTCACAGCGCCTTCCGTGCCATGGGAGATGAAAGCCCCATTGTCTTGTTGGGCTGAGGATGGAGCTCCGTGGTAGAGCATTTGGCGAGCGTGCATGAGGCTCTGCATTTCATCCTCCATAATGAAGAAAAAAAAAGTCAAATCTACTTTATTGTGTTGTTATGAGGATCAAATGAGGTGTTGTCTTTTTAAAATGTTTTGTGAATTGAAAAAGTAAGGAGTTGCTCGCCTACAGGATCAGATGTGGCTCTTGTTTGAAATACACACGGCTGTTCTATTAAAACGAAATAAATTCTTTGGTAGAGTAGAGCATAGTCTCCCATTGACAAGTACATTTTGTGATTTTAAGATCAAAGTGAATCATAAGGAGGAAGGAAAAGACAGAGGACCCTGGGAATAACTGTGAGTCATCATCACTTGGCCCTTCATTCATCTGGCCTGCATTCTTTCTTTAAAAAAATATGTGTGTGTCTGAGGGAGAGAGACAGAGACAGAGAGAGGGGGTGTATGTTAAATGTGTGAGACAGAGACACACACATACAGAGACACAGACAGAGAGGGGGTGTATATTATATGTGTGAGGCAGAGACACACACGGAGACACAGAGAGAGGGTGTCTGTTATATGCATGTGAGTACTTGAAGTCAGGAGAGGGTGTCAGATCCCCTGGAGCTGGAGTTACAGGCATTTGTGAGTCATTTGAAGTAGGTAGTAGAATCTGAACTTGGGGGCCTTTGGAAGAACAAGTGATCTTGGCCCGTGAGCCATCTCACCAGCCCCACACATATCAATTTATTATCCAATTACTGTTTGCAAAATAGGGAGCTAGAGCCAGGTGTGGTAACATGTGTCTTTAATCCCAGCACTTGAGAGGCAGAGTCAGGCTCATCTCCAAGAGATGGAGACCTGCCTGGTCTACATAGTGAGGGCTATATAGAAAGACCATGTCTCCAAAAACCAAACCAAAACCAAACAAACAAACAAACAAAACAGAGTTAGGAATGATACAGAGAAACAGAAGTGAGCCAGTCACCTCTCTGGTCCCTTGACCCCTTGACTTGCATTCTTAAAGCAGACACTCTGCTTGCTCTCAGTAGAAAGAAATCATGGCTTCCCGGGGAGCCAGCGTAAATCCATTGAAGAGACTGAATGCAGAGAGAGATTTACCTGAGTTCATTCATGATGTTATCTGATTTGGTGTGTGTGTGGTGGTGGTGGGTTATGTTGCACAGGCTAGCTGTGAATTCACTGTGTGCAGAGGATGCTCTTGGACCCTGCTGAGACTGTAGGCGTACACCACCACTCCCGGTGTTCTGGACATTTTAATAGTAGGAAATAGTTAGGTCTCCAGTACAGGACAAAATCAACTGTCCTGTACCTTATAGGTTTCATTTCATAATTTTATTGTGACACTTTGCACAGTGCATGCCACGGTCCAGATCACACACCCTGCCTGCCTTTATGGGGAGATAGTGTCTCTCCCATGCGTCCTGATATTGCCTGTATTCTTTTAATAAGGTCTGAATTTCTTGTAACTTGCACCACAACCCATGAATACTTAAAAACTTCCCTTTTTAGGAATCTCCAAAGGCCATCTCTGAGTATGATGATCTCCTGGGAGGTTCTCCAAGATTCAGGATACAGTTATACTTGTAACTTCTTACAGTGAGAATAAACAAGGAAAACCTGGAAAAGAGAAAGACACAAGGGACCAAGTCCAAAGACAGCCAGGCGCTGGGTCTCAAGAGCCCTCTCCTTTGGAATCTCAGTATGGGTCCTCTATTGGTGAATTGTTGAGAAACGTGAATTTTCTGCTAGAGACACATTTCTCTATACTAAAGCTTTTGGGGGGATTTGGTCACGAGCCATTCTCTGTCTCATTACAAAATTCTAGACTTGCAAAGGAAAGCAGGCGTTCTGCATAGACTAGATTGTTTATACAAAGACTGGAATCCTGGTGGCTATGCTTGCCCTTTAGAGGTTGAAGAGAACAGTCCTGAAGTCTGCACTCCGAGACTTCAGCCCCCACCCAACTTTGCAAACAGGCTTTTCTAAGGAGAGCAGTCTCAAACATTCTAGCATCCTAGCGCCAATGATGTCAAGTAGACCTCTCCACGCCCTCCTCTTCCTGATGCCCATGAAGAGATGACATGCACCCCTAAATTATGCAGGTCTTCTACTCCAAGAGGAAAAAGCCAAGGGCGATATTATAGAAAGCATTACCAAAACTAACAGAGAATGCAGGCTAATACCTAGGTCTTTCCCAAAGATTAAAAAACACACATGCACCTTCAGTTCTCTTCTGGGCAGTGTCGGAGAGAAGAGAAAGATGGGGATGCAGTCAAGTGCAGGCTGCAAGCACGGTTCTCGGCTCCATCCTTAAACCTGTGTTCAGCCTGTCTTCAGCCCTCCCCCCATTTCTAAGTTTCTTACGACAAGGGGTCAGTTTTGAGATGTACAGTGCTGACTATGAGAAGGTCAGATTAGGGGCAAATATTTTGCAGACTTCTATAAATCAGAACCCTGACTCTTCTCTGTTCATGGCTCCTCTGTCTACAGCATAATGGTCTAAGGCAGCAGATCTCAACCTTCCTAATGCTCAGACTCTGTAATACAGTACTGTTCCTCAAGTTGTAGCAACCACCTAATCAGAAAGTTACTTTTTGTTGCTTCTTCATAAGTGTAATTTTGTTACTGTTGTGAACTGTAATGTAACTATTTCTGAAGATAAAAGTTTGTTGGGAGTCTCCACCCCTAAGTTGAGAACCGCTGGTCTAAAGCTCTTCAGGGAAAGTCCTGCTTGCAGGTGCTTGTCTGGCATTGTATATGGTGCAAGAATACTTGGCCAGCAGGGGAGAATCCTGGGAACACAGAGTGGGAGCCCTGGGTTGGGGAAGACTCTACTGAGTAGGTCATTATAAAGATGACCAGCAAAGACCAGAAAGAGCATGTGGGAACAAAGAAAGGCTTAGCCAGGGATAGGAAGGAGCAGGTAGGATGTGTCAGGATCGTAGGCACCTGCCAGCTGGTGGGGATTTGCCTTCTTTTTCTCCACCCGCCTCCTTCCTACTATGAGTGATTAGAAACCTTTAACAAGAATGTATCTTTTAACAGATCAAAATCCACC